AAGTCACTTTGGAGCAATCCCTCAAATTCAGCTTTAAAGTGACCAACAACCAGGCGGAGTATGAGGCACTTCTCGCAGGACTGAGGCTGGCTCGCAACCTCGGGGCCCAAAGAGTGAGTTGCAACAGCGACTCGAAACTCATGGTGGAACAGCTCAGTGGGACGTACCAGGCAAAGGATATTCTCTTACAGCGGTACTTCCACATTGCATCCCACCAGATCTCGTCCTTCGACGAGTTCACTATACAGCATGTGTCGCAAGAACAAAATTCCCGAGTCGACCTCCTATCAAAGCTCGCCAGCACCAAACGACCCAAGCAGCATCGGACCATCATCCAGGAGACCTTGCACTCACCCAACCTAGACGACAAAGTTGTCAATACCAACAACAGCGAAGACCAAGGATGGATGACAGGCATCTAGAGCTACTTGAAAGAAGGAGTTTTGCCCAAAGACAAAGACGAAGCTCGAAAAATAAGGGTGAGGTCAGCCAAGTTCGTAATCATCGGCGACGAACTGTTCAAACGTGGCATCTCCACCCCACTGCTCAAGTGCTTAACTGCGCCTCAAGCAGCCTACGTCATCGAAGAGATTCACTAGGGCATATGTGACATGCATTCTGGAGCACGCTCAATGGCGACCAGAGTACTCCGAGCAGGATACTACTGACCCACTCTGAAATCGGATTGCCAGAACTACGTACAAAAATGCAAAGAATGCTAGCAGTTCGGCAACATACACCGGCAACCGCCCGAAGCTCTTCACCATATGATGTCAGCATGGCCTTTCTCCCAGTGGGGAATGGACATCCTTGGGCCATTCCCCCCTGCGAAAGGTCAACTCAAGTTCCTCCTAGTGGCTTGAGGCATGCCCACTCGCCAAACCGGAAGAGGCACCTGCGCAACATCAACAGCGTCCACTCGACTACCTCGGCTTCGCACCAGAGTTCATTGCCGATCACCTTCAGCGACGACGACTATGCTGGCGTCAGCCCCAACCAGGATAACCCCATGGTCATCGCTGTGGAAGTTATCAATTGGGAGGTCCACAAGACACTGATTGACCAAGGGAGCTCGGCCGACATCCTATATTGGCCGACGTTCCTCAGGTTAGACATCCCTCACTCTCTCATCCAACCTCACACAGAGCCCCTAGTCGATTTTGCAGGAGAGCGAGTTCACACTCGGGGATATGTGGACCTGCTAACAACTTTCGGGACCTCTCCAGACACAAAGCAGATTATGGTCCGATACCTCCTCGTGGAAGCCAACACTTCCTACAATATAATCATTGGGAGGCCGACCTTGAACCAACTTGGAGCAGTGGTGTCCACTCCACACCTCACCATGAAGTTCCCAAGGAATGGTGGGAAGATTATTTCCGTCAAGGCAAACCAGAAAACAGCTCGGCAGTGCTACAGTCAGAAGATCTCCTCGTCCGGCGAGCAATGCAAGAATGATCCTCCCACTGTGGCTCACATCACCCACGTGGAAATCGCTGATCTCGATCCGAGGTCCGACGCCCATGATGAACGGCCAAGTCCCATTGACGAGCTCGACAACCTCCAGATCAGGAAACTCCTCGGGCAGTGCACAAAAATCAGCAGGCAGTTGAGCCCGGAGTTGCGATAGTAGCTCGAAGCTGAGATCCTCAAAAACGTCGACCTCTTCACCTGGTCCAGTGTAGACATGCCAGGTATAAACTCTGACTTCATCTATCACAGGTTAGCAATACACAAGGAGGCAAGGCTAGTGGCCCAGAGAAAGAGGAAGGTCGGTGGTTAAAGACGGGAGGCCATCATCACCGAGACACAAAAATTGCTGAACGTTGGCTTCATCCGCGAGGTCAGGTACACCACATGGTTGGAAAACGAGGTATTGGTAAAAAAGAGCTCGAGGAAATACCGTCTTGAACAAGGCATGCCCCAAGGACTCATACCCCTTGCCGAGCATCGACAGGCTGGTCGATGGAGAATCTGGGCACGCCCTCCTCAGTTTCCTCGATGCTTACTCCGGGTACAACCAAATCATGATGTACCCATCAGACGAGGTGCACACGTCATTCATCACTGATCGCGCCAATTACTGCTATCGAGTGATGCCCTTCGGTCTCAAGAATGCGGGGGCCACTTACCAGCGAATGATGGACAAGATTTTCTACCACCAAATTGGCCGGAATATGGAGGTCTACATTGACGACATGGTGGTCAAAACCACCTAAGCCGCAGACCATGTAGCCGACCTCGTTGAGGTGTTCAGCCAAATCAGGAGACATAACATGCGTCTCAACCCGGAGAAGTGCGTCTTCAACGTACAGGGAGGTAAGTTCCTCGGTTTTATGATCACTAGCAGAGGAATCGAAGCCAACCCTGAAAAGTGCAAAGTCATTATCCAGATGTAGAGTCCTCAAACAGTGAAAGAAGTCCAACGCCTAGTCGGAAGGTTAGTCTCACTGTCCCGTTTCATCCCGGGAGTCTCTGCCATGGGAGGCGCCGAGCGCAATTCAAATTGCGCTGGGTGCGAGACTAAGGGAGGTCTCTGCCTTCCCCACGCTGGGCGCGGGTTTGGGCACGCCGGGCGCGAGAGACTCCTTGGAGTCTCTGTCTGGCATGCGCTGGGCGCAACTATTTATTGCACCAAGCGCGTGAGAGCTTTGGGCTCTCTGGTTGAGTCCCGCTGGGCGCAGGCATGCTTGCGCCGGGCGCGCTGGCCCCCGGATGCTCTCTGGTTGTATTGCGCTGAGCGCAACCATGAGTGCGCCGGGCGCATAGATGATAATTCATTATATCCTGAATTGAATTGAGATGGATGAATATAATGTGATGACTAGTAGATAATGTTGTTACTGATGTTGAGTTGTATCAGTTGTATATTGATGTAAGTTGATATGTTGAGTTGTATCAGTTGTATATTGTTGTAAGTTGCTGCGTTGAGCTGTTGAATCCGGAACAGCCGTTCTGGACTCATTTTCCATGCCTCATTTTCATACCCAGAACGGCTCGTTCTCAGACCAGAACGGGTCGTTCTGGGGTTACAAAGTAATCCACAAAGGCCATCTCTGAAACGGCCCGTTCCAAAAGTGGAACGGCCCGTTCCCAATGTGCAACGGCCCATTCTGCTTTCGCATATTGCTCATAAAATGCATTTTTGGAACGGGCCGTTCTGGGTTCCACTGGCAGCGAAAATACCCAGCATAATCGATTATGCTTGGCCACGTAATCGATTATGGCCTTCCATAATCGATTATGCCTCACCCATAATCGATTATGCAAGGCCATAATCGATTATGTGGCCAACCATAATCGATTATGCTTGTTCGTATATGCCAAATGAGATCAAACTTACCTTCAATGGAGGAGCTCCTTCCACAATCACTCACCAAAACACACCAGCCACGCACCAGCCCCAACAACACGCACCAGCCCGTGGAGAACGTGGAGAATCAGTCAGCAACACCAACCACCAGCGTCGAAAATCTATGAAGACACACCATAAAGAGAGATTCCAACTCTCTTATAATATTATTTCAAACGCGGTGTGCCACTCAACGACAAAGCTCCTTCAACAATGGCAGTCAACAATGGCAGAGATTCCTGGCACAGTATGCATGCATGAGACAAGGATACAGGGAAGGTCCATGAACCATGGCAGAGATTCCTCTGCTGCATGGCACAGTATGCATGCATGGGACAGGGGCATTTCCAGGTTTTCACAAATCCTACGTGTCTTTCATCTCCTTTCTTCGCTTTTGTGCGAGGACAGCAACAGTGCTTCTCCTCCCTTTTCTTCGCCTTTCCTTCGTTGCAAATTACCGGAAACAAACACCAAGTTTTCTCGCCTTTTGTTGCTTGTAAACAGTACATCACCGGAAACAAAAACTACCTTAAGGACCAAATCCAATAGTATATATAGGGAGAGAAGGAATTTTCTTACTCTAAAAGTAAGTTTTGATAGACTTATTTCACTCAATAACTCATGTTCTACATTAAATTTTAACGATTCAACTATTGAATTAAAAGTTCTTAATGCATATAAAGTTTACAAATTTTTTACTTGAATATTTTATATGTTGACTTGAATTAATGAAATAAAATATCAAATAATTTTTAAATTTTTAAAAAAATTTACAGACTTGGTTTATGCATTAAGAATTTTTAATTCAACAATTAAATTATTAAAATTTGATGTAAAACATAAATTATTGAATAGAGTAAGTCTACCAAGAATTTCTCTTAAAGTAAGTATATATATGTGTGTGTGTGAAGCATATATATATGTGTGTGTATGTGTGTGTGTGCATGCACACGTGTGTGTGTGAAAGAGATGGAAAAATCATAATATTTTAATAATTGGTTATTGTTATAAACATTTATAATCAAAATAAATTTTTATGTAAGTAAATTTACTAAAAATGATTTTAAAATGTTTAATTTTATTTAGATACAATAAAAAAAATTAATTTTGATGTAGTAAATCAATTATAGAAAGAAAAAAATGTTGAACGATAATTATAAGCTTCTAATTTTAAAATTAAAGAAAACAGCTTATTTAAAAAAGTTGTTTACAAATTGAAGTTATTTCAAGCAACCAACTTTTTATTGAACAGAATTTTCTTTCAAAAACAGCTGAAATGAAGCACAAACATGGTATAAGAAATTAAATTAATTGAGGCTGAGGATGAACATTTCAACATTTGTTGCTCCAAAAAAATAAGTCGTATAAGTAGTGATAATGGACACAAACCAACGAGATATAGTGGCGAGGTGTTGCTACTTGCTAGAGAGAAGCTTTTGATTCCATAGTTACCTCTGTTGATAACTTCTCCAATTTTTATTTTACTTTACATTTTAAAAAGACAAAGTGTAAACACTTCACGTAATACTAGGCATTTTTTAATGCTTAAATCAGTTCCAAGTGTTGATGTTAATATTTTTCATTTCCCATATAATGAAAGTAGAAATTGTAGCCAAGAAGATGCAAGCTTCTCTGTCAATTGAGCTAGAGAGACACATAAATGGAGACACCTCCAAATATTCTTTATTTGCCCTTACAAACAGAAACCATTAGGTAACGTGTAAATATTAGGCCTTCAAAAGAGGCTCTAGTTCTGGAATGGTATAAAGCAATTTATGCACACAAAGTCCAGAAACCATTACATAACATTTAACTATTTTGCCTTCAAAAAGACACTTACTGGAATGGTATAAATCACTATATACACATGTCTCAAATACAGAATACTCATTTATTTCAACATTTCTTAATTAATAATTATATTTTCTTTTTCTTCCTGTCAATACCACTACCTCCATCTTTTTTACACTATCATCACCATTGTCATCACCATTGTCATTATTAATGTTGTTACCACCATTCCTGTCACACCACCTCCATCGTTGTTGACACTTCGAACACCAACCTCTGGTACACCATCACCACTATCTTCAACATCATCTCTGTCATCACTACAACTCCACCACATATTAAAAAATAAATAATGTGAATTGTATTAAGATAATATTATTAAGAAGTGCAATGCAGTAAATTTTATATATTTTGCTTGTAATGTCCATTGTCTACCAAACAATACACATCATAAAAAGTTTTACCATTGTTCTCTTTGTATTGGGGCTTAACCTTGGTTTTCTTTGTATTGTACCTTAACCTTGGTGTGCATCAAAAGCACCCTAAATGTTCAAAACATTTGACTAGGTGTTTACTGTTTAATTCATGGGGTTGCAGAACTCGATGATTGCAGAGATATCACCACAACTGGTACAGAGTAGGCTTGTTGATACAAGATGATTCCTCTATCTTTCCTCATTTAGGTTCATTATGTGCCAGGCAAAACATAGTGCATTAAGAACAGGAACAAAGTTAACAGGATAATATTTTAATGAAGAATATATGTAACCATTGATTGCTTGATGACCGTGAATCCTAAGCCTAAATTTTCCCAAGTCCCAAGAATATGATACATACTTAATCCTAGACCTCCACTGTCTTAGTCTAATCATAAATAATTTGAGCATACATTAGTGTTTTTCTTTTTTTTATAATCATATAATTAGTACGAAATATTTACCAACTTTGTCGATGATTAATCTTCATAAAAAACTTGATTAGCCATCTTTAGTGGGTTCCCTCCCCCTAACCATGGTTTTTCTATACACAAGACTTCAACTCAAACCTGAGACCTAACTTAAAGAGATTGAATTCAATACCACTCGTACCAACAACTAACTAGCATATGAGGTTATGACAAAAAGTGAACATTGAACAATGATGTTTGCTTACCCTATTATTAGTTAAGTTAACAAGGATACTCGTATCATCAGGATAGTCACTCTAACTAACATGCCACAACCTCAATCACCTTTTCCATATTCTTAAATTATTTTTTAATTATGTGAAATTTTTTCATGTTCATTAGGGTGATACATCTCTTTTTACAATTTATATGCAATGTAATTACCTTTCAAGGTTTATACTTGGACTTTGGAAAAACAAACTTAAGCACGTGTACCAAAACAACAAATCATACAAGAGTTATGTCCAAAATTCCAGTTACAGTAGTTTCACAAATATTCAACACAATTACTAGTTGTTTTTAATAAAACTTAAATATGTTTTTAATTCCTATAAAATTAGTAAGTTTTGATTTTGATTCCTGTTAAAAAATTGTTTTTCATCCTTCTAAAATTTTTAAATATTGTTTTTGGTTCTTATAAAATATTTTTGGTCCTTGTAAATGAATAAATTTTGGTTTTGTCCCTGTAAAAATATTTTTCTTTGATTTTCATCCTTCTAGAATCTAAAATCACTATTTTTGGTCCCAAACAATAATTTTAAGGTATATAAATATATTTCTTTTAAGAAGCTATGAAACATTTTAGAGATGTCACACACTAATATGGTATCACTAACAGTTACAGGTAGTACCTAAGATGATTACTTCACCTTTTAAATAAACAAATAAATAGTTAAAAAAGATTATATAATAATAATGAAGACTAAAAACAATAATTATAAAATTTAGGGGGATGAAAAAAAATTATAGAAACCAAAATCAAAACATGCTCATTTTGCAAAGATTAAAAACATATTTAAGCTTTTTAATAATTAGCAGCAAATTAAGAATTAGTATTCCATTGAGAGATAAAGATAAGCCTCAATTCTCGAATTTTATTTCAAACTCAACAAATGTGAATTTCCTAAAACAAATGTCATCCACAGAAACATAAGCACGCCGTAAACATAAATATAATAAAAATTTATGGAAATCCAAATAGAATAAATGCATAGGGAAATCAGAGATTTTGTACCTTACAATATGGAATTGCACCTGAAGATGCTAGAGAAATGGATCACGGGTTACCAATGAGCACCTTGATTGTGTGAAAACTGTGAATCTTTTATAAAGAGACATTGTTGGAAAAAGAGAAAGAAAACAAAATATATGACTGATTCAGATGAAAAAATGTTGAAATAGAAAATGCATTTGGGTGAGTGCATATATGAGTTGCTCTGTTACCTGCTTTGTGTTACTCAACATTGGTTAAGGCCTTAAAGGAGTGCGGTGTTACTTTTAAATAAGAAAGGAGAGCATTATTCTCCAACATCTTAAATAGTGATCGTAATATACAAAAATTTAAAAATAAAACCGAAGAACAAAATCAAACACTCAAAACTTATCACTTGTATAAGTTTCCACATTCCAAGGCCCGTGATACATTACTCAACAAAAAGACCTTGTGTTTGTCACTTTGTCTACATAATGACTAACATAGGGTTTTATCCAAGGACTTCAGACCAATTAGACAATTACTATGCCACTTACAACAATAATTAATTCTCATACAAATTCTTATTTTTTTTTCAAGATTAATGTATAGAACAAAAATTTAAGATATTAATAATCAGCCGAATAAGTTACCATCATGAAAAAAAAATATTCATAAAAGAATTCATCCGATGATATCCTTAGAACTAGACAGTCCTGAATCAACAGTAATACAGCTGCGGTGTTTTCACTGTGGCATATACCAGTTTATGTCAATTCCAATTTCCAAGCCAATTTTCTGTGAAACATCTACAAAACTCTCATGAAAATACACAAGATGTTTGCTACATAAACTGTATTCAGAAACATGGTAAAACAACTAAACATGACCCACCAAAGCATTAGAAGAGCTAGTATGGTCCCAGTTGTCAGGTCCATCACTAAAGCAAATCCCCAATGGCAATGTCTGAGAAGCTTTTAGAATGTTATAAAGTAATATTATTTATATAGGTGTATCTTCTCAGTTATCTAGCCATTCAGTACCAGTATTAGTATATATGAGCAACATCTGACCATCTCACCACAGTTGCACAGAATAATTCTCTGAACTATTTATCATGTACATTACTACAATTTCAAAATAAAAAGGGGAAAACAAGTTCAATTTGAAAAAATCAAATCAATAAAGTCATGCTAAAAGTACAAATACTTACAAATGGTCAACCTCCCTCTGATGTAATTGTAACCACAGAATTTGTGGTTTCTTTCTCTCAGAACTGAGATTAGTCATAGGATATAAAGTTAAGCATGATAAGAAATTTGCAGGTCATTCTTGATGTCTCACTATCATTGCAAAGCAAATAAACCTCTCTCACAAGTTCTCCAACAATATCCGAAAGGTTTGTCTTGAACTCCAAACCAAAAGATAGGAAGTAACCAAGTTGAAAAATCTGTACAAACTCATTTGGAATAATTGCTGGATTTTCAATTTTCATACACAAGTGTAAAAAATCAGGGTCATCACAATGGCAAATTGTTTGGATAGAATTGCTCAAACCAATGTTTTGGAGCAGCTGGGTGAATTCTAAAAGCGCGAGCAACAAAATTCCTGTTGCTTGTTGCAACTATGCTTGCAATGGAATAGTTTTTGGAAGACAGGCTCTTCTCAACAACCCACCTATGGAACCTGTACCTAGGCTTAATGCGGTTCTCTAAGTCAAAGCACAAGAATGCCGGAAAAGTGACCAAACCCTCCACCGACTGTCCCATTTCCTGACAGAAGAAATTAATCTTTTGCTCTAAAGATTCAGGGTTTTGGCTCAGAATCTTAGGATGAACCATGATCATCTTACAGACCTTGTTGAATTCAATCCCAAAACGTAGAAGGCAATCAAATCTCTTGTGCAACTCGCCCCGCGTTCCATGCATCTTAGTGAACACATCCATGGTCAAAGCATTTTCTCCAAAGCCAATGGAGTGCAAGAAATCCAACTTGCTCATATTGTGAGTCGGTGTTCTCGACATCTGAATTGCCTTCAAACTAAGTACATAGCCTTTATCCCGCCCCACATTGGGACAGCTTGCAACATAACCAACTAACAAACCATGATTCCCATCCTTGATCTTATCAAAGAACCACTCATGTAAACCCAAAGCCCTCATCACATTGGGCAAATTACCCATCTTAACAGTCCCCAACACATGAGCATAACCCTTCCTAACATCCTCAACACCATTGGAGCTCATTCCAAATTGTTTCAACAGCTTCAACACATCGACCACCCGTGTCTCCAAATCCAGCCCCAACAACTCCTCCCCCTCGAGAATCAACCGTGCCACATCCTCCTGCTTTGCACCAAACCTACAAAAATACTCAACCGCTCTAACCAACTCCCCTTCCCCATGCTCCACAATGACACCAACACCAACACCAGTACCATTGTTCTTCCCTCCTCCAATGAGCTCCACTATGTTCTTCTTCCCACCATTCAAATCATAAAACACCCTTATCTTCCTACACACCCCATGCCAATCCTCCACACTATTCCCCTTCCCCTCAACCCATTCAGCCAAACCAAGCTCCCCAAACAGCACCCTCAGATCACCAAACAAAGCATCAACCTCAGCACCCTTTTGGCCATCAAACACAAAGGGGAAAGCCAAGCATATCCCCACAACCTGCACATTGCAAAAACCGTACCTTTTGAACCCACACAGCATACCCTTCAGCTCAGAGGCACTCCACCCGAACACACAACCACTCTCCACATACAACACCCCAAGCTTGTCCCAGGGGAAGCCAAACTCGTTGAGAACACGAGCAGCATCCAAGAGGGTCCCATCCTCGGAGAAGAAGAACTTGTCATGGGGCAACAAAGATGGGAACTTGGAGGGCTGAATGCCGATGCTCTCGAAGAAAAACTCGAATTCGTTGATGGGGTTGTAGCGTAGGAACTTGTTGAGGTTGTGGGGGAAGTGGGGGGCAGAGAAAGAGCCCAACTTGGTGATGAGGTTGGTGAGAGCAGTGAGGGAGTTCTTGGCGATTTGGTCAGCGTAGGCGTAAGGGATGCAGCGCGTGGCGTGGAGGTAATCGGTGAGGGCCTTCTGGCCTTGGCTTATGGCGAATTTCTTGTACTTCCATGGGATATTTGAGAGCTTTGAGACATGGCGGTGGTGGAGGAACATGTTTCAGCCAGGGTTTTGCTTTGCTTTCAATTGCTCTTTCTTTTCTTTGATTTCCTTTACTCGTGTCTCTATTTTGACAAATAGCATGGAAGGTTTATCAAATCAAATTCATTTCTAAAGTGCTTCTTGAAAATTTTAATAATAAATTTCGGACAAAAGTTTAAATTTCTAAATTCTAGTCTTTTTTTTTCTAAATGTAAGTTATTTTTATAAAGTTAAAATTTAAATTTTATTATTATTTATTGCATAAAAATTGATTATTTGTTATGTTTAAATAAAATTAAATATTTCAAAATTAATTTTTATTAAATTTATACAAATAGATATTTATTTTAATTATAATTGATTATAATAATAGATTATATGTATAATTAATTATTGAAATAATTATTGTTGGTAACAATCTTATTTGATTTAAATAAAATTGTTTTTTTCAAAAAAAATGTAGTTTATAAAAAATATTTCTAAAATGATAAAACCCTCCATTTTCTTTGTTGAATAACCATTGTACATATTACGTTGAATAATAAAGTAAAATTGAAAATTTATTAAAATATATAATAATACATTATCTTATATGATTTTAATAATACATTATCTTGTATGATTTTAATAAAAAAAATTATATTAATTTTTAACTATTTTTTTTACATTAAAAAATATATGATGGTCTAACTTAGATGGTTAAGCGAATTTATAAGTTGTTGTAAATCTCTTTATATTGTGGTTGATTCTCATAGATAAAAAAATAATAATAATAAAATAGGCAAAAACAAAAAATAATTAAACTAAAGAACGATGGTATGGGAAAGTAGGGGTGGGTACTAGCTTTCTGAGTACAAATTGGAATAGACTAGATTTAAAGCATATTTTATTCTAATCCAATCTATTTTAATTAAATTGGATTGGTTTGATTTTTTAAATAATCTCTAATACGATCTAATTATATTTTATTTGGATTGAATTAAATCGATTCATTAGATTTATTCATAAATTAAAAATTAAAAAATAATATTAAACATATTGTAAAATATATTTTTATCTCATTAATTGATATAACATTCAATATTATATATATGTTTATCAACATTATAAATTACTATTTAAAACATTATAAATATCAAATTTAAAATGTAATAAACATCATTATATTAATACTTAAATCTGTCCAACATACACCATAGTCTACATATCTATCGGTCATTCTCAACACTACAAGAAAATTGCGAATTAGAGAGGGAAAGATCCCTCGCAAATCCCTCGCTAAACAGAATGGTGAGGGACTAGCGAAAGATTTGCGAGGGATCATTCCCTCGCTAAATTCAAGTCGCTAATTAGCGACGGATGCATATCCCTCGCAATTCCCTCGCTACATTCATTCGCTTTTCCCTCGCAAACAACTTTGCTAGTCCGTCGCAAATTTGTGCCGCTAATTCTTCGCTATCGCCTCGCAAATGTAGAACCTAAATTCCCTCGCTAATTATATTTAATATTTCCTCGCTAAACCGTCGCAAAACCTTCGCAAGATATCCTTTGCTACTTTGTCGCTACTCCATCACAAAATATTGTTTAATTATTTCCTCACTAATCGTTCACCACTCCGTCGCAATTATCCCTCGCGATATTGTCGCTAATTCCTCGCAACGCTGTAGCAATATATCAATTGAGGTCCTTCGCAAATCCCTCGCTAACCCGTCGCAAATATGTCCCTCGCAAATCCCTCGCTAACCCCTTGCAAATATGTCCCTCGCAAACCCCTCGCTAAACCCTCGCAAATATGTCCCTCGCTAAACCCTCGCAAATATGTCATTCGCAAATCCCTCGCTAATCCCACGCAAATATGTCCTTCGCAAATCCCTTGCTAATCCCACGCAAATCCATCAAAGCATATGGATTGAGTTATGAAGAACGGCCAAGTCCCATTGACGAGCTCGACAACCTCCAGATCAGGAAACTCCTCGGGCAGTGCACAAAAATCAGCAGGCAGTTGAGCCCGGAGTTGCGATAGTAGCTCGAAGCTGAGATCCTCAAAAACGTCGACCTCTTCACCTGGTCCAGTGTAGACATGCCAGGTATAAACTCTGACTTCATCTATCACAGGTTAGCAATACACAAGGAGGCAAGGCTAGTGGCCCAGAGAAAGAGGAAGGTCGGTGGTTAAAGACGGGAGGCCATCATCACCGAGACACAAAAATTGCTGAACGTTGGCTTCATCCGCGAGGTCAGGTACACCACATGGTTGGAAAACGAGGTATTGGTAAAAAAGAGCTCGAGGAAATACCGTCTTGAACAAGGCATGCCCCAAGGACTCATACCCCTTGCCGAGCATCGACAGGCTGGTCGATGGAGAATCTGGGCACGCCCTCCTCAGTTTCCTCGATGCTTACTCCGGGTACAACCAAATCATGATGTACCCATCAGACGAGGTGCACACGTCATTCATCACTGATCGCGCCAATTACTGCTATCGAGTGATGCCCTTCGGTCTCAAGAATGCGGGGGCCACTTACCAGCGAATGATGGACAAGATTTTCTACCACCAAATTGGCCGGAATATGGAGGTCTACATTGACGACATGGTGGTCAAAACCACCTAAGCCGCAGACCATGTAGCCGACCTCGTTGAGGTGTTCAGCCAAATCAGGAGACATAACATGCGTCTCAACCCGGAGAAGTGCGTCTTCAACGTACAGGGAGGTAAGTTCCTCGGTTTTATGATCACTAGCAGAGGAATCGAAGCCAACCCTGAAAAGTGCACACTCCGAGATCGCATAGAGGAACTCATACAGGCAGGCCACCTCGGCCAGTATGTCCAACGACAACAGGGTCACCGAGGAGGCTACGGTGGACGAGGACGAGGTAGAGTTCGTGGTTCGGGAGCTCGCACGGACCAACCCTCTGGCTCTCAGCAAAATGCCGATGGAGTAGTGCAAGCCAAGGTAAGCCAGGAAACAGGGTCAGCTCCCCTACGGGGAGTAATCAACACAATTCCAGGTGGCTTCGCAGGGGGAGGTGCCAGCAGCTCGGCCCGGAAGAGGCACCTGCGCAACATCAACAGCGTCCACTCGACTACCTCGGCTTCGCACCAGAGTTCATTGCCGATCACCTTCAGCGACGACGACTATGCTGGCGTCAGCCCCAACCAGGATAACCCCATGGTCATCGCTGTGGAAGTTATCAATTGGGAGGTCCACAAGACACTGATTGACCAAGGGAGCTCGGCCGACATCCTATATTGGCCGACGTTCCTCAGGTTAGACATCCCTCACTCTCTCATCCAACCTCACACAGAGCCCCTAGTCGATTTTGCAGGAGAGCGAGTTCACACTCGGGGATATGTGGACCTGCTAACAACTTTCGGGACCTCTCCAGACACAAAGCAGATTATGGTCCGATACCTCCTCGTGGAAGCCAACACTTCCTACAATATAATCATTGGGAGGCCGACCTTGAACCAACTTGGAGCAGTGGTGTCCACTCCACACCTCACCATGAAGTTCCCAAGGAATGGTGGGAAGATTATTTCCGTCAAGGCAAACCAGAAAACAGCTCGGCAGTGCTACAGTCAGAAGATCTCCTCGTCCGGCGAGCAATGCAAGAATGATCCTCCCACTGTGGCTCACATCACCCACGTGGAAATCGCTGATCTCGATCCGAGGTCCGACGCCCATGATGAACGGCCAAGTCCCATTGACGAGCTCGACAACCTCCAGATCAGGAAACTCCTCGGGCAGTGCACAAAAATCAGCAGGCAGTTGAGCCCGGAGTTGCGATAGTAGCTCGAAGCTGAGATCCTCAAAAACGTCGACCTCTGCACAAAGAACCACAAGTAATAAAATAAGGCAATACTAGTACCAATAAGAAACCCTTTTATCTATTTCTTATTTTAACACTAAAAAATGAGTAATTATGTGTAATGTGTTGAAACTAAAACCTTTTAGAATATATTCATCACCTTTCAAAATCAAGTTGTTAATCATAACTAGATTCTGAATCATATAATTCCTCATCATCTATGAACTCATTACTATCTTCAATCTCATCATCTTAAATATCATCAATGAAGTGATCATGATGCAAGTTTTCCATTGGATGATGTATATCATTGTTGCCTACTTCTTCCATTGGAGCAATTCCATCAAACAATGGTATCGTCTCATCGTGTATAACACTTTGGTGTGCTCTTATGGATCCATCATCTTGGTAATAATCAGTATAAGTTAGCTCATTTGATCCACCAAATTCATCATTTAATGTCTCAGCCATAAAAAGTTTCGGTCTAACTTTGCAAGCTGCCCACCATTCATCACTAGATCTACCCCCACTTTGTGGGTATCTTGTGTAGTAAACTTGTTGTGCTTGTTCAGCTAAAACAAATGGCTCATCTGATTGAAGCTTTGATTTATGTTTGATATCAACCAACCCATATCTTTCATCAATAGTGACACCATTTGGGTCAAACCAGTGGCAGCGTAGGATAATTACTCTTTGATGTCCAAGATATGATAATTCTAATATATCCTCAACAATTCCATAATAGTCTAAATCATTCTCACCATATATATTTCCCCGAACGCATACCCCACTATTCATGGTGGCTTTATTATGTCCATAGTCCTTAGTATGAAATCTATATCCATTAACTATTAAGCCATTAAAAGAAGTTGCAAATTTAGATGGACCATAACTTATCTCTTTAATCATTTGATCATCAACTTGATTTGTACTTACCTGTAAATGATTTCAAAGAGAAAAAATGGTTGCATCACTTAGTATATATTATGAACGTTAAAAAGAACATTATATACATTTATGAGTAAGTTGACTCACTTGATGTTTCAACCATTTACTGAAGTTTTTATCGCGAGTTTCCACTATTTCATCCTCATCAATATTGGGATTTGTTTCCTTTAGCGAATCCTCAAATTGTCTAATACATATAATAAATTTAATAAGAAAACTAATTTCACTATAAACTACCAAAATTGAGAAATTAGGGAGCAAACTTACTGAAGATAAGGTTCCAGTTCTTTGCAATTTACAAGAACATATGTCTCAGCAATTTCAAGCTCTTTATCTGTTAATATTATTTTTTGACCCTTGCCAATAGGACGACATGGGTATTTAAAAATAGACAACTTATCATCACCATTGGTATCTTCCCACCATCATCATTTCGAGGAACTTGAGTGTGTCTTATTTGTATAGTTGGATCAAAGTACATAGAAGCAAAATTAGAAATTTCTTCCACAATATAAGTTTCACAAATGGATCCTTCAACCCTTGCTTTATTTCGAACCTTCTTTTTCAAGTACAACATGCACCTCTCAAATGGATACATCCATCTGTACTGCACTGGTCCTCCAACCTTGGCTTCATAAGGGAGATGCACAATTAAATGTTCCATGGAATCAAAGAATGCTGGCGGGAAAATCTTTTCAAGCTTGCAAATTGTGGCAACCCGAATGAAATCATCAACTCCATTTCTAAATTCTTCACTTACAAGGCTAGAGTGGCCTTTTCGTCTTAACATCCAACTTCGATCTGGTCTCATTACTCTTGTTTTTTATTTCACAAATTAAAATAATAAGAAATAGGATTAATAAGCTATTATTAATCTTTTGTAAAATTCAATCTATATATAAGAAATACGATTAATAAGCTTACAAATCAGCAATGATAGATAATTGTCTTGGCTATATAAAGAATTTAGTTTTGGCCAAGAAATAGGATTCAACCTATATAACAAATCAATAAAGTTAATTTTTAAAATTATTGACAGGTGCATGGATAATTTGTTTTGTGTCTCATTTTTTAACTATGATCTTAGTATTTTTTAAAAACTAAAAATAAGTAAAAGGTGAGTGTAAAAATAATGATTTTTTAATAATGTTTTTGATCAATAAAGTTAATTTTTAAAATTATTGACAGGTGCATGGATAATTTGTTTTGTGTCTCATTTTTTAACTATGATCTTAGTATTTTTTAAAAACTAAAAATAAGTAAAAGGTGAGTGTAAAAATAATGATTTTTTAATAAACATATATGAGTTGTCTTAATAGAAGCAGAAAGTTGTTATTTTTTCGTTCCTGAAATGGAGTTTAAACAAATATGTTAATAGAAAATTACTTACTTTATTAAAAGATTTTAAAGATAAATAAGGAGACCCATAATATTTGTATATAATTACTTAGTTAATTTCTAAAATTTTAATTTACATATCGTCATGATTGATTTTTTAAACTTTTAAAATGAAATAATCTTATAAGTGCTTATGTAATAATGTATCTAAACATTTTAAAATTACGTGTTTACAACATATATATTCAAACATAAAAAAAAAGTATTATTGAATTTTAAGTACTCGTACCAAGTTATTACATGAAATTCCCTCGCTAATCCGCGAAATTCTTGTAGTGACATTTATAAGTTCAACAAAATATCTTCAACATTACAAACTCAACAAAATATTCCAAGTGTTACAACCAACTCCATAAAAACCTATGTAATCCATACTCAACTTTAACAAATGAGAGACACTCACAATGAAGCAAACAAAAAACTTGAGTTTCATTTGTGTCCTAAGACTCTAATGAAACTAGTTCGATTGGCATCAACCATTAGAAGTCTTTGTAAATCAGCAAGGGGCTACGTTCACAACTAGAGCATCAACTTGATATTTAAGTTTGGAGAGGTAATTGTCGCATTGATTCTCTTTTTCAATTTTGTCCTTTTGATACTAAATGAATTGATAGGTTTCAAATAAAAAATAAAATTGGTTGACGGGTCACTTATCTTTTTTTGTTTTTCAAAAAATAAGTTCAATGATCACTTAGCCCAAATTTGATAACCCAAAATAAATTAATAAAATAAATAAAATTTAATCAAATGGATTTGTTTGATTCAATTCCTAAAAATCAAAATCCAAGATCCACATCAAATTGATTGGATTTTCAATTTTTAAATTTAAATTGATCCAATAGTCCAAATCAGTTTGATTTTTCTAGTTGGGATTGAACTCATTGTATCATTGAAATGAATCGGATCCACAACCATCCCTACGGAAAAGTATGTGCCCTTTCCATCAACTTCTAAAGGTGAGTATCTTCTGCTTGTTATGGGTGTCAAGCACCACCATAAATACCAGAGTATAGGGTTAAGGAGCCAAGTTTTGCTCAAGATATGAAATTGCCAATTCCTATTTATCAATTGCTTTTGTGTAACCAACTCATTAACAATTCTATGATGGGTTTGCAACTCATTAGATAACAGAGTATGTAACATCTCACTTTTCATAATAAATTATAAAAGATATTTTAATTTAATTAATTGGGGGATATTTTGAAAATGAGGGTAACTGATAAAAAGAATATTTTATGAATTAGATGTTATGATAATTGAGTTATTTATTTTGAAATAATAAATAGTGAGGAATTATTAAATTGACCTTTTACCGATGGGTTGCATTGACAATAGGGTTAACATCCCTTTATAAATGCATTAGTAGACTAGGGTTGCCTCATTATATTCTTTAACATATGCATTTCGTAATCTGGAGAAGAAGGAAGATCAGGGGCAATAAGAGAAGATCTTGGCAATCCAAACCGAGAATTTAGCATGCATCAAGATAAGGGGGAAGTGAGAACCTCACTCTAGGTGTGGGTTATTTGTTGGGTAACGGGATTGGCCCCTGATCTCTTTGATTGTAATTGATTTGTATGCGTGAAGGATTAAACCCAATTTATGTTTGTAATTGTAATATGTAATTGTCGTCTCTTGATTTCTACATAAGAGTAATTATGTTGTTAATCTATGAGTTGCTCTTTTTATGAATTTGTGAGTGGCTGTGAGTTTTGTGAGAATCCCTATAGATTATTATTAAATAATAGTATTGGAGAAGCAACTTCAGCTAGAAAACCCCTTAACAAAACTGAATTAATTAGACTATTGATGCCTTTTTTAACATAAATTTGTGAAAGTAGTGAGACCCTTTGAGAGTGTATTTCACGTTTATGCAGAAAAAAAAATTATTAATACTATGTTGGGCACCACTTGAGGGACACTAGGCCCAAAAGCCCAAAATGCTTGTCGTTGACGTTGGGCATGAGTTTGGTCACACCGAGCGCGGGAGCTCTAAGGGATCCCTGTAGAGAACTTGTTAGGCATAGGAAGAATCACGTCAAGTGTGATCTGTAACGACCCACCTTAGGTCATCACATCAATAACCAACAAGTTGCCTGATCCCTGATATATCTTTTTTGATTGCAGTGGTCCTCGAGGCATGGAATAATTTCTCCAGAAACATTCTTTTAAGATCATCCCAGCTGGTGATGGACTTGGGGCTAAATAATACGACCAATCTTTAGCAACTCCCTCCAATGGGTGTGGAAATGCCTTCAAGTAAATGTGGTCCTCTTGAAATTCAAGAGGCTTCATGGTAGAACAAACAATATGGAACTCCTTCAGATGTTTATGTGGATCCTCACCTGCATGACCATGAAACTTGGGCAACAAATGGATTAGTCCAGTTTTAAGCACAAAAGGAACATCCTCCTCGGGATATTGAATGCACAAACTCTCATATGTAAAATCAGGTGCAGTCATCTCCCTAAGAGTCCTCTCTGGGGTCCATTATAAGGTTGCTCACCCATGTTTTCTGTTTGAACTAAATCAACCTCAGATGCAACACTTACACTATGACTATCACTATGACTATCTAAAGATGGAATGATACGCTCTCTAATTATTCTATGGAATTTCCTATCAATCTCAGGGTCAAATGGATGCAAAAAGCCTGGATTGCTCCTACTCATGCACTACATGCAACACATGCATCAAGAAACGTGAACAGTAGGAGTAAAATGGGAATTTCCATGAAAACTTGGAAACAATCAAAACTAATGCGCCAATATCATCCTAAAATCATTAGAAACTACCTCAAAAAATTTCAAAGAAAAATTCAAAGCCTAACTATATGAAAAACCTATGAAAAGTTTGAAAAAATAGGGAAATAAAACTTCAAAATTAGAAAGAAAAAAATAGCAAATGACATTTTTTTGAAAATCTAAGTGGTGCCAGACAGCATAGCAAGTTGGGTTTGATAGATCTTTTTTTTCTACCCCAAATGCATATATAATATGTCCAATTCTGATAACCAGAGCAAAAGTTATGGAAGTTTGAAGTTTTGCTGAAAACCGGTTTAAAAATTTTTTGTATCTTCAAATCAGGACCATTATAAGTGCCTCTGGGATTTTTTACACAAAATATAAGTTGAAAGAAGTGTGCACACCAAATTAGAAGCAAAAATAACAAGTCTAGCTATCAAAACAAAAAATCATAATTAATTGGAAAATTTGGGCACTATTCACCGTCACATGAAATGCACAATTTCACACCACTTTCCCCAAATTTTGGCACCCGAACAGAGGAGTACTAGAGGCAGAAAATAGAGTATGCCTAAGTGAAACAGAGCATGCATGGAATGGAAACAGATTACACCATACAACATACAACTTAGACTTTGAATTTACTGTTCCATTGGATTACTATTCCATTGGTTAGTTTCATGAGATTGAATAGCACGAATTCTTCAATTGGTATACTTGCTACTAATAACAAACACAAAAAAAAAACACAAATACACAACATAACATGTAGTGGGACACAAAAAACGCAAACACAAACTGATACAAAACTGAAGTAAAAACTAATACACTAAAGTTGATACACTGATACACTAAAACACTACACCAAAAACACACAGAACATAACAAAGACTCTAAAACACTATACTACTAACAAAAACACAAAACACACAATAGAACACAAAACCTTTGACAATAACCGATGGTCCCCGGTAACAGCACCAAATTTGATCGAAGTCGTATCCGGTCAAATAAAATAATTAAATGCAGTACTAGCAAGTTGTCATAGGTCGTCTCC